AAAAGGTAAGATATTTGTTTTTCACTTATTAAGTATTTCAAATTATTATATAAAAATATTAATCAGACTCGAGGAAAAGATGAAAATATTGCTACAAATATGAGTCAATATGGAAAAAGATCATATTACATTGATGTAGTTGTATCAGATTTTTCTTATCCTTTATGGCGTTCCGATATGTGTATAGATGCTATAATTACTGATCGTAAGTATAATTGTTTTTTAGATTAATTTATGAATCTTATTATAAATAATTTAATTAATTTATTAATTATAGCACCTTATGGTATAAGAGAAGCAACAGAAAGAATAGGTACAACTAAATTAAACCCAGTAATAGAAGAACATCAAGCTTCATCTCATATACCATCTAAAATTGGTTATAATTTACCTCAAATGTACAAAGATTTATTAACTTTTGCAGCTAAACATCTTAAGTTAAATAGTAGATTAGTATGTTGGTTTCCCTTATTTAGGTAAAATACATTAATTTATCAACAAAAATTATATATATATATATATCAAATATTTTTTAAATTAAAATATAGAACATTATTTTTTTAGAGATCAATATTCAGAAGATCAATTACCAACACATCCATGTTTGGAATTAATAGCTAATTCAGAACAAATACTTAGTAATTATACTAGTCGCAGATTATTAACTTATAAAAAAGTAAAAGATCCAAAGGTATGTATAAATAAACATTTTATATAATTAAGTGTAAAAATATTATAAAAAAATTTTAATTCATTTCTCTTTTTTTAGGAATCAGATGAAATAATTTCTACTAATTTAATCGATTTCCGAGAAAAATATTTTGCACTACGAAATGAAAGTAGAAGAGAAAAACGAATGAAGAAAGCTGTAGAAAAAGCAAAGAAACGAGAAATTTGGGAACAGAATAATAAAGAAAATCCAAAAAGATGACTATAATTATTTTACGTGAACAAATATTTATTTTCTTTTAAATTTATAATTTAAAATATAATTTTTTTAAAATTGTTATTTTTCCCACAATCATATGTGCAATTCAAAATATAAGACAAGATATTCAGAAATTTATTACAGATTTGATAACAGAAGAGACTCAAAAATGATAATAATACGATTTTTAATATCTTCAAATGAAAAGATATCGGGAAAGTAATAAATTTTTTTCATTAATTAATTTATGATAAAAATTTTTTAAAATTATTTTTTTAGCTAATATTTCATTATTTTGCACAATAACATCTTAATCCAATTTACTTGATTCACTAAAGGATTCATTTATCAAAGGAAATTTATATCGAGCAATAAATATATATATATGTGTGTGTATATATA